GGTGGACCAGCTCCCTTGACTGTTGAGTGTCGTGATAATGAAGGTGAACCAGTGGCGTTGAAAGTTCGTGACAATGGGGATGGAACATTCACATGCAACTATACGCCGAAGGTGCCTCGCAAACATACAGTATTGGTTTCATATGGTGCTGTCAATGTGCCACGCAGTCCGTTCCGTGTAAGTCCGCGTGGATAAAAGGTGGGCAATTCCAACCAGTTTTCTGTGTCTTTGATGAAGCAGTAGAAATGTTACAGAATGCCATGAAAATGCATGAGATCAATCAAACAACTGACTGTTTTGCCAACATAAATATGAAGCTGCTGTTGGTTGAAGTTTATTAAGCAAATCATTGCCGTTTCCAAATCGGTTTCTATCATTTCGTGAGAGTTCCTTGGTTCTTCCAGTTTTAACGTGCACTACCACCGGTCGAAAGCACGTCATACAAATAAAACGGTGCTGGGAGGAAGTCAGCAATCGGAAACGCTTGATAATGTAATGATGTAATAAAATTATCGTGACTAAGGCAAGGTGTAATCAAGTTATGATCCGGCCTTAATCCACGATTTTCTTGACCTTGCGTCTTGGATTTGAGCCTCTATTCTTAGCTTGGGCCATAATATCAATTGGTTTACCAATCAGCAAGCAGACACGCCCCATTGACCAGACTGTAGTGTTATCCGGTCAGAAAGGTTGTTTTGTGGGTCCCATCTATCGCCGGCCTGAAACAGCCCAGACAGAAAGTGTTTTCAAAGGCTCGTCGGATGCAGATACCACGTTACATAACAAGTCTACATTGGAAACTGAGCCAATGCGTTATCAACTGTGTCCGCACTTGGGTAAATGATTTAACCAGGATAGAAATTCATCAACATGATGAGTGAATTGCTTTATCATTAGTTAAGGAGCCAAGAGCAGGCTGCTACCGAAGCCGAATGAGCTGAGACCTAAAAACTGTGAGCATTGCATTCGAATCATTAGCACTGGTTTCGCAAACGTAAGGTCATCTGTAGTTCATTGTACACTCCATATATTTGCCAAAGCAAGCGTTTGAACAGATAATGGCAATGTGGTATACAAGGCCAATGCTTTCACTCTGTTCTTCCCATATTTTGCCTGAAATTAAAAATTTTTTCATATAATTATTCACTAAACTTACAAAGAGATGTTTTTGGGATTCTTGTTTTTACTCCAATCTTGAACTCATTTGATATAGGTGAAGGTATTTTGATAGGCTACTGTCATTCCAGCACTAGCTTGTTTCTGAGCTTGTGGTTGTCAGCTACATTCCCTCAGCTTTTTCAAGTGAATAACTTCAGCATTTGGCACCGTTTTTGGTCTTACCTCATCGTTTCTCTCTCATATACCTAAATTAGGAGTTTGAACCAAAGCGATTTCAGAAATCTCAGTTCTTTTTCTGAGGCCACCGGAAAATGTACTTTCTGAGTGGGAAAATTCTTCAGTCACACAATAAAAAAGGGTTAAGTGACCCTTCTACGTGCTCATTGAGTGAGACTGATTGAATGCTCAGCTATAATTAACAGACGATCATGACCATTTCCGACCGGCTTTCGTAGAAACTTATATGTCAATTACCACAAATTTATGGTCGATAGTCTCACCGATACGGAGTCACTATACACTGGCCTCCTTATGCAGTTCTATTCATCTTGGATTAAAAGCTAAATTAACAACTACCCCTGGGAACTGGGGTTTTCTTAAGCCAATCCACAATCAGAGTTGGAAGGAAATTTCATCAGTTTCCATACCAAGGTTCATTTACAAATTGGTTTGTACAATAAGTAAACAGACATTTTCATGCGGTGGTTCGATTGCTGTCTCTTGGCTCCCATTTGGATTAAAGAATAGAGGGAAGAATGAGAATGTTGAACGCAATGAAAGCAGGTAAAAGGAGAGAATTCTGGTAGGTTAAAAAGAGATTGAGAAGATGCATCAGTGTCACTGTTTGCGGCAGTCAACCGTATCACTCAGTGTCTCTGACCATCGGTTACGCTGCTCTCGGGGTCCCATCCCGGAATATGAGCGTGACCCATATGAACGAGTTCCTACTGGTCACAATATTCACACCCTTGTTCCGCGTATCAGTTTAAGTACCTTAAAACTTCTGCACCCATTACCTGCTTCGATGAAAATCGCACAAACGGCCGTCGGAGAGAGTTATGTGTACATGCATCTTGAGACTGGTACGCACAATCTATCTGTATCTTACCTTTGGTCTACAGGTTGATGTGGCTGAACCAAGTCAACCAGGCAAGGTGCGTGTGTTCGGTCCAGGTGTCGAAAGTGTAGTTCGCGGACAGCCCACACATTTCACGGTTGATTGCAAGTTGGCTGGTCAAGGTGAGCACTGAGCGCGTGAATTTATGCGGAACCCACCGCATGATCCTCTCTGTTACACGTTTTGCTCAGCTTTGATTACACGAGAGTTTCAACAATCTCCTGTATATTTAATGTACAAGTTTTATAAACTCATTTCATGCTAGTTTATTACTAACATTGATGTATCACCTATGGTCACCTGAGCATTTAAAAAATGGGTGATGTTTCATTAAATTTCAATTGGATTGCTCATGCTTATAAATATCGGTACAATTTTCCCCATTCAAAGGGGTCTTTTAAGTGGGTAAAAAAACGAAATGACCAGTCACAAATGATGCTATGGTTGTCATTCTCATATTATTTTAAAGCACAACACGATCGTCTTAGGTGTTGATGGTTACATCTTGCAGATTTTCCAAAACACCCGTATCATAATTTAGGTGTTAAATACTACAAATTTCTGTGGTACACTTCTTACACTCAGATTTAAGAATAGAAACCAATGATGTGTATCGTGAGTAAGTTGATAAACTCAGCCATCAAACGGAGACCGAATATTCTCGAACTCAGTTAATATATTTATAACCTGTGTACGGTTAGGAATGAATTTTATTCATCAAGTAGCCCTTCCAACTTTTTCGGATTAGGTAACGTTGGAATCAGTATAACTGATGAGATGGGTCGTGATGTGCCCATGGATACACAAGATATGCGAGATGGCACATTCCGGGTTGCATATACCGCTCACACTCCAGGACCGACATACACAGTTCACGTGTTCTTCAATAACCAAGAAGTTCCACGCAGTCCGTTCCGTGTTCCTGTCAAGCCTAATGTGGATATGTCAAGAATTCACGTAGAAAATCTGAGTCCAAGTAAGTGTTCCCTGAGACAATCCGGTTTGTCATTCCGTTGTTTTGTTGTACCACGAGGAATCTGACCATTCGTTTCAGCACCCAACTTGAAAGTAGTCGCGAATTAGGTGCATATACCGAGAGAATATCTTAAGCTATCACATTTTATTCACACTTCTTAAGAAGCCGTTTCTAGAATGTCTAGATTGACAGAGCCCCGTATCTGCGTTGTAACCATAGGACACTAAACCAAACTGTACGAACCGTTGGAATTGGTTGAGGATTTGCTTCAAGCACACAACAATTTTATGACTGGGTTCCTCGACTCAAACGGATCATGAAAAGCAGCGGTTAGTTCAAGTTTTATTAATACTGAAACGAATAATGCTCAATCAGAACTGCTCTGTTTGGAAGGATTTTGGTTGCATTGCCTGTTATCTAGTAGAAAAACCTGACAACTACACCACCGTGGCTCCTATGCT